TATAGGCTCCCCAAAGCAGCCCTTGGCTGATAGCCTGGAAAATGCCAGGCTCAGAAGGATCCCTCACTCTCCACTCTTATTTAAACAGGACACAAAGCCTAATTAATGCTTCACGACTGGAATCTAATAGCGAAAAGAGAGAGGTCTTATTACCAGAAAGCAAACAGAGCTTGGGAAAGGTGCTGGGCACACCTGGAGGCCATTTTCGAAGTTTGGAAGGAACTCTCCTAGGAGCTGCAAAGGAGCTCAGAGGTCTTCTAGTTTGATCCCCTCATTTTACAGAAGAACACGTTGAGGCCAGGGAGGATAAATGCCTTGGTCAAGGTCAGTCAGGGAGTAACCGTCAGGGTGGGATTTCCAGCCCAGAGCCGGCTCGTTCCCTGGCACTATCCCAAGTCGGTGGAAAGTGTGGTCCTCAGGAAGAGGAGAAAGGTGGTCTCGCCCTGCCACCCAACTACCTCCTTTTCAACACAAGCACTTGGGGGACCCTTAGCCACTCTTGCCTGGAAATAAACACAGCCGGGGTCTACAGCATCGAGCAAGGCTTCGACCTTCACCAAAGGGCTGTGGCCTAGCTCCCTTTGGATGGCTCTGAGATGATTCCAGGGCCGATGACGCAGGCTTTGGAGAAGCCAGGCCCGGCCTTTCCTTCTTCCTGCCTGCAGCCCTTCCTGGGCTGAGCGTCAGCTCCCTCAGAGGCGTCGGGACGAGTCGAGGCAAAGCCGAAGACTCGAAGTTGCCAGGTAGCCGAGCTGGTTAGCATTTAATTGTGCTGGGCTCCGGGTCTGGCTGTTTGTGCACCTGAAGTCATCCCTCACCTTTCCAAGAGGCTCTACCACACACCTGGCACAGGCCGGGGCACGCCCTCGGTGCCCAGCCGCGGCCTGTGGGGCAGTGACTGGCAAGGAGAGGGCTTGTTCTCACCCGCGATTCTGCCAGGGCTTTTAAAGGTGTAGTGTAAAGTATACAAGCAGACATATATGTTCGTGTGCACACACACATTTTATGTTCTGGACTAAAAGGTTTCGCTTGACTCCCCCTCAACCATCCAGCTCGAGGCTCTTGTACACAAAATTCCATTTCCCAGCTCCGTGATTTTGCGTAGTAACTGCCTCGTGACTTTCATTATATTCCAATCTCTTGATGCACTGCCAGGCACAAAGGAGGCTTTATAAAATGCTTGTTGACTGACTGACTGAGGGCCGGCTCCGTCCTCCCCCTCAGTAGGTTTAGCCTCTCCTCCTGGGGTGGGGGGTGCCTTTCTTTAACCCCATTGCTTCTTATTCCATGAATGCTTACGTGGGTGCCTGTTGTCTCTCCCAACAGATTGAAAGCTCCCAGAGGGCAGGGCTTTTTAAATCGGGGGTTTGTATCCCCAGTGCCCAGCACGGTGGGCCCATGCCCACACCCGGCTCATAACACATCTTGCATGTCAAATGTCAGCTCTTGGAGGGCGGGAGTCTGTTTCATTTTTATTTCTGCCTCATCCCCTTGCACTGTGCTTGGGACCTAGGATGGGCTTTATCCATGCCTGAGAATTGTCCGTCACCCTTGTCTCCACCACTTGAGGTCGGGCACCCTTCCCTTGGGCCCTGGAATGTTGGCAATGCCCTCCTGAGTCCGCTCCTCTAGCCTGTCCGCACACACACACACTCACCACTGCCAGTCGGACATTCCCAATGCCCGGCCCTGGCCATGTCACCCTGAGGCCCCGAGCTCTTGGATGCTTTCCTCCAGCCCCTCAGGCCCTCCAGGGAGCTTCCCCCTGCTCGAGTGGTCCCTCACGTGCACAGGTGGGCCCCCTGCCTTCCTTGGCCTCTTAGGATCCTTCCCTTCCTTCCCGCCACACCTCCTACTCAACTCGTTCAGTTATTTCTGTTTTTTCCTTTGGAAATGACATTTACTTTGCGCTGACTTCCCGGCTCGTCTGTGTGTTTCCCCGTGGCAGGGACCATGGTGGTTTTGTCTCTGTTTTCCCCAGACCCCCTGCACAGTGCCTGCCATGTAAGAAATGCTTCCTAACTGCCTGCATTGCTTGAATTGAATTGAAAGTTCACTTTGGAGAGAACTTTCGCAGAGGAGCCCACCGATATCCCAGCCTGTGGAGTTCTCAGACTTGGGGAGGATTAAGAACGTGAATCAACTGCTGTTGCAGGGCGAGGCAAGGCTTGTCTTTAATCCCTGATACCGGGTATCGGGGAGGTCTAGGCAGAACAGCTGATACAAGACGTCTCCTAATAGTCTGTGGTACATTCTCCCACCAATCCCTAGAGGCTGGGGGAAAGCGAGAGGGTACCTGGGGCAGAGGGATAACACAGCTCTTGGTTCCTGGACGCCCTCTCTCCCCTTCTCCCGGGGGTCCTCACATCCTTCACCTTGGGCACTGCACAGCTTTTCTGCTGGATGCCTCGTAGACCTATAATGTTTCCTTTTTTTAGTGTTTTAGTTCGTCCTTAGCTCCCAATGCAGAAGCCCCCTCGAGCTACTGCTTTTCTGGAGATTTGAGTGCGAATTTCCAAATCCTCTGACCCTCTGAAGTGCTCAAGGACCTCCTCTGGTAAAGGAGGGATGACTGGGACTGAGGCCTCAGCTCATCCTCTCCCCAACCTTCTCTTCCTCAACTCGGCTAGAATGTTTCCATGCTAAGCCCACATGCTCCCAAAATACCCCAGTGTGAACTAGCTCACTGGTTCTGTACAAAACTCACTGGGTGAGACTGGGTTCCCTCAACCAACCCAAACAGACCCAAATGTCCCACCTAGTGGAAATAGTTTTGATTGCTTGATTGTTTCAATGGAAATGCCACACCCTATTCACACCTCTGGTTAACTGAGATGTGTTCTCACCTAAACAAGGCATCTGGGCAAAGAATCTTGTTATTTCAAGGGGGCGGTTATGATTTATTGATTGATTCACCCCCACCCTTATGCAGCAAATATTCAACCACATTCAAGCACCACAGTTTGCTTAGCCATTCCCCAGATTTCATTTTCAGTTCTTTGCTCTCTCTCTCTCTCTCTCTCTCTCTCTCTCTCTCTCTCTCTCTCTC